TGGTGGACTGGAAAACCAGACAAATATGCTCCGGGTTCATGCCCACAGGGTTCACTCTCCTCTCCATCAGGAATCAGCAGGGAGGGATTTGGCAAATGAAAGGCCACTGTCCCCTTGAGGACACGAGAGTGGAATGGAGAATGGTGCCCCCAGAGCTGGGCTTGGAAGATTGTGTGATATTAGTGATGAGCTTCTACCAAGGAAGGAGAGACACTAAGTACAGGGTTCCTTCTCAAGTCTCTAGTATCTTGGGAAGAAATAAAAAAAAAAAAAAAAAAGATTGATTGATTTAGAAAATCGAGGCAGTAGATTGAAAAGTGGAATGTTCTGATTGTTTGCTACATATTAAAGATTTGAGCTATGTATGTTCTGAAGATGTTTGAATTGAAACTGCCAAGTCCCTGCGCTAAAGTCCAGTAAGAGAGACCGACAGTTAACAGGTATTTGTGACTTGGGGCAGCACGCTGCTGTGGGATCCTAGAGGAGAGAGCCACTATCCTGCAGCCTCCATGAGACATCATGGGAGAAATAAATGTCTTTGAGGTGAGGAGAGGGATTGTTGGCTGCAGGGAGGTTGGAGACAAAAACTGCAATGCAATCAGTTGGTCCCATTTCATTACCATATCTAGTGATGCTGGCACTCTGGAGGGCAGGAACACCAAAGGCCAACAGTAGTTTGGTCCAGGGTCAGGGTTTGGCAAAGCTAAATTGAATGAATAGCACAGCGACCTAAGGTTCTAGCCTTAGCAACAGAAATGACTGCCTAGGGGGTCAGCACAGTAAGATAAACAAGCCAGCAGACAAATGACAGAGGAAAGGGGGGAGGGGGGCAAAACCAGAGAGGTGGTGAGAAACTGGGTGGTGGTTTTGACCCTCTCACATCCTCAGGAGATCTTCTGGTGATTCATAGCAGAGAGCTCAGCTTGAGCCTGGGCAGGCTCGGAGCTGGGGCTTACATGCAGTGAGCACCAAGGCTGGTCTGATGGGGTGGCCTGACAGAAAGTCTGTGTGCCAGGACAACTATGGAGCCTCCTGTGAGGCACTTGATCCCAAGCAAACAGGGATTCAGGCTGGATGAGCTGGTCACACAGGGGCTTGGGAGCCTGTGTTTGGTACTACTGTGATCTATTTCCAGCTCAGTCCCTTGGGTGCAGTGAGAAAGTAGGAAAAATCAGGAGAATTTTGTAAAATTCAGGGTTGCTTGGATACTTCCCCAAACTGCATGTAATGCAAAGACCTGCATCTTACCCTGCACATCTCCACAGGCTACCTCTGGGCTTGACACCACGATAACCCTCGCGTTCTGGTGACAGTGTTTGGCAGAGACCATGACACCCAGTGGAACAGAGGCATACCCAATGGGAGAGGGTTTATTCATGAATACACGTCCCACACCACCAGTAGACCCAGAGAAACCTTGCAGAGGAGTCCTGGAGGGGGCTGTGTTCCTCAGTCCATGACCAGAAAGGCCAGGGGAATCTGGCTTCTCCCTCTCTCAGTAGAAGGAGAAGTCAAGATTTAGGCTCTGGAATTAGATAGATTGGCTCTGCAATTTAGTAGTTCTGTGAATTTGATCAAGTTATTTAACTCTCTGAGCTTGCTTCCTGAGGTTGGTTTACCTCTTCGATATGGTAAATGAGAAATTCTATGTATGCCTTTAACACGTGGCAGTCAGACCACACCTGCAATTCCTTCTGCCCGAAGCCTCCTCCTCCTTGCTGACTCTTACTCAGCCTACAATGAAATGTTATTTTTTATCAGAGGAGTCATCCCCGAGCCCCTCTAGCAGACTCTAGATTGCCTACCCAACATCCATTGCCACTTTCTCCTTTTTGTTTGGGTATCAACCCCTCAAAGAATGCAATTCTGAAAAGTTCCAGGGCAAATTCTGAAGAGCCTAAGTCAATTTTGGTAGTCCTCCCTCCATGCCCAACATTTAGGTGTGGGCATGAGACTCAGTCTGGACTAAGGACAGGTGAGAGGAGGTCAGCTGGGAGCTTCCATGAACTCTTGAGAAGAGACACACTCCAATACTATTGGGCATTGTCAGGATTATCTGTCGTAACAGCAGCTGCTCCAGCCATCCTGGGACCACGATGGGGTGGGGGCAGACCCAGGTACAAGTTGGCATGTTGGAGCCGGCAGGGGGCATAAGAGAACAGCCCAGGCCTACTCTGACATCACCGAGGTGCTGAATTTACCAGCGAGAGCCTCTCAACCTTGGGACTTCAAGCCATATGAAACAGTAAATTTCCTTATCATTTAAGACATTTTAAACTAGGTTAATTATTAATTGCAGCCTCCTGCATCTAGATTATAACCCCGTATTTTTTTTTCCTCTCCTATCATATTTTCTTTCATGGCACTTTTTACATAAATATTACTTCTGTGTTTATGGGTTTGATGTCTGTGTCCCCCACTGGATTGTAGATTCTGAGTTGCCAAGATCATATGTTGATCTTGTTCACCACTGAATTTCTGGATTGTGCCTGAGGCATAAGAGCTGCTTAAGCACAGCTGTTGAAAGAATGAATAAAGGCTTGGGGCGCCTGGGTGGCTCAGTCGGTTAAGTGACTGCCTTCGGCTCAGGTCATGATCCTGGAGTCCCAGGATCGAGTCCCAGAATCGAGTCCCGCATCGGGCTCCCTGCTCGGCGGGGGGTCTGCTTCTCCCTCTGACTCTCCTCCCTCTCATGCTCTC